TTGGCTCTTCTTCTACTTTAAAGCATGAGGTTAGAGTAATATATATATACCTTTCTCGGTCTTTGGCTAAGATCAAGAGTTAAATGATAAATATAAATATATATATTTTTTGTTGTAAATCTTTTGGTATTTAAAAATTATATTAAATTTTGATTAATTTGAAATTGAGTTGCTTTGAACCTTATATAAAAAAAATTTTTTCCAACATTTATTTTTCATTCATAAGATTTGAATTCAAAATCTTACTTAAGGATATTAAACTCTTTTTATTCTTTCTACTCAAACCAACAAGTCACAACAAAAATATTTTTAATAAATGCATGAAGATTACTTAATGATATTTTTGTATTTTCTTATCTTGATATTTTTGTGTTTTCCTACCCTAATCTTATTTTTAAATGCTTCCACGTTGAAAAAAATATATATCTTTTAATTATATCCTTACAATGACATAATTTGACAACTATGGTATAATATAGTATATTAAATAAATATATATAATATTATTTTTTAAATAAATAAATATTTATAATTTTACATACAATCTTATCTAATCAAAATAATTAATTACATATTATAAATTTATAATAGGACAAAACATTTTTAAATACTTGTATCATTTTCCAATTGGATTAGTCAGAGCACCTTACCGTCATCGCTTCCGTCACCTTCTCCCATTAGAGCAACCATCTTCGCTCCAGCCAATAGACAATCTCGTGGAGGATCGAAGAACCATGGCAGATTCTGATGAATTGATGGTATTTGGAGTATGGACAAGCCATTACAGCCGCAGAGTCGAGCTTGCTCTGAAGCTCAAAGGAATCCAATATCAATACTTCGAAGAAGACCTATCCAACAAAAGTCCCTTGCTTCTCAAGTACAACCCCATTCACAAGAAAATTCCTGTTCTTGTCCATAATGGAAAACCTGTTGCAGAGTCTCTGGTCATCCTGGAGTACATCGATGAGACATGGAAAAACAACCCCCTTTTGCCCCAGGATCCATACGCCAGAGCCATGAGTCGATTCTGGGCTAAATTCATCGACGAAACTGTAAACCCTTAACCCAATTCATGTCTTTTAGTTTTTTGGTTTCATCAATTTGGGACTAAGTTTGATTACTCTGTTTTTGTTTCAGATTGTGGCGTTGGCGCTAAAACTTAGAGCAGGAACAGAGGAGGAACAAAAGCAGACCATTGAAGAGCTGAGGAAGCATCTGAAGGTGTTGGAGAATCAGCTCGAGGGGAAGGAATTCTTTGGAGGTGATAGGATTGGGTACCTGGACGTCATGGCGACTGTTATAGCGTTTTGGCTAGTGGTGGCGCAAGAGGCTATGGGAGGACTGGAGGTGATGACAGAGGAGAGGTTTCCGATCTTGTACAAATGGATCGGGAGGATAACAAAGATCGACGTGGTCAATGAATGGCGCCCCCCAAAGGAAAAACTTATTGAATACCTGAAAGCCCGCTTTGCTTCCCCAAAATCTGTCTGAAAATAAAGAATCATATCGATAACATGCCTCTTTATGTATATCATGATTAAATAGAGAATCCTAGCAATAACTTGCCTCTCAATGTCCGTGCTTATGCTGCTGCTTCTTCTGCTTCTTTATGTCATGTGTAAATTTTCTTCTTCTACTACTTTTTGTATTATTATCTAACAAACATACCACATGTACTTATTAAGGTTTATATCATGTGTAAATTTTTTGGTTATGCATGACCGAATTGATACTAATTTTTTTCTTGATTTTAGGTGGTATAAGTTTTAAATTTAACTTGTGACAGTGGTTATATTACATACTTATCAAAATATTGTGAATTTCTTTCTTTTTCCATGTACGTGAATTACTATCTCACTAAAAGTTCAAGTTAAACATTTGATGAAAATGCAGAGATTGGATCTATGACATGCATTTTGTATGTTTTGACTTTTTATTTTAACCTTGATTTTGTTGCTATTTAGATGGGTAAAATGTGATTTTTAACAAATTTTATATAGAGTTTTTTTAATTTATGTCCTAAAGACACGTATTAAAGACGTAATTGTTATATTCTTTTGATACTAATTAATATTAAAAAATAAAAAATTGATATTAAATTCATAACTAATGTCATGTAAATTATTTTAATTGGACACTTAATTAAATAAATATTAATTAAAATAAATATTATTCATTTAATTTAAACTCTCCCATTTTGCCCAGTGGATGAGCCATGTTACTCCACTAATAGGTGGAGTTTACTTGATCCTTAATTCGACTCTAACCTTAAACAGATATTAACTCACTAACTCAGTATTACCCTTATAAAAAAAATATTAATTTTTATTTTTTTTAATATCAATTAATATAAAAAAAAATACAATAATTATACCCTTAACATTTACGCTTAAGATATACATTAGAAAAACCCCTTTTACATAATATTCATTCTTAATGAAAAAGGAACTTCGATGCATAACAATAAAAGCTTTTGGGCATGAGTAATTTTTTTAGGGACTATAGGGTGAGGAGAAAAGTTACGATAAGACTTAAATGCATAGATTAGAAGTTATGAGATCAAAGTGCTCATTATGTAGAAGCTTGAGGAACAGATGTGGTATTTTACCAAACGTGTCTGGTGAATGTATTGACACCTACCTTGCAATGTCGACACTCCAAGCAAATTTCAACAATTTTATTTGGAAGTTTTAACCTGGTTCTTACTTCTTCTTTTTTTCCTTTTTTTTTTTTTTTTCAAATATGGTTTTTTTTAAACTCTATAAATACTCATTCAAGACCCTAAAACTCTATGAATTAGTTTTTTATTTTTTGGTGATTTTATCATATTACAGTTTTACCATTTTGAGTACGGAAGAGGGATATGTGGCTACATACATTTACACAATAAGGTGCTTTTGTTTCTACAATTCCCATTTTCAGTTAAGTTTGAGAATTTCAAGGTGGTATTACTTCAATTATGCAATGTCATGGGACCGAGAGTCCAATGAGTGAGGAACTTCGATAAATAATATATGTTTCAGTTCCTTTCTTTAGATGTGATTAATTATGTACTTTATTGTTGTACTACTATACACTGCAAGTGGCTAGACAGCTTAGTGTATGCATTGAGCCTGAAAGCGTGCATTTGCCAACACCTCTGTCGACTTTTGGAGATTTGAGGTGCCATTTCGCTTGGCAAAATCCATACCATGGCCAGAAGGAAAGGTTCAATGGACTCTTAAAGTTAAAATCCGGGGCAAATAAACAGCAGTTGATGGACTTTAGCAAGTTCCTCTCAAATGCTTGTGGACTGAGGATTTTGGTATCTCAATGGCGATTTATTCGACATGGATGGAGATTCTGAGGACCATTGCCAAAACGCTATTTGATTATCTGCTGTGTCAGTTGTTTGTGATTTAATTTTCTCATCTTTTCAAGTAGGAAGAGCAAACAACAAGCAAAATGCAAAGCAACCCGGCACAAGAGTTGATGCAACCATACAAAGTTTACCTAGTAAAACAGCACTGAAACTTGAAGTAAATACACTCTGGCCTTACCAAACTAAAGTTGCGCAAGCTTGGTCCAAACAGGGCAATAAAAGCAGCAGAGATTATTCCTTTTGATGAAACCCTTTTGCAAAGAACAGATTCAAAGTTTCAAATAGCACCTGGATCCTTCACAATGGTAACTGGGCAAGTAGCATTCGCAACCACATGGGTGCTTACACTTCCCAGCAGAACCCTGTTGTTTTTCAATAAATCAATACATCAAACACCAAAACAACATGGCGAATTTGATCAAAACAACATAGAGAATTTGATCCAAACAACATAGAGAATTTGATCCAAACAGTTGATCATCCACCCTTTTCTGAAGTTCAGATCTAAATTAAGGAAGAACAACAATGGAATATATAGATCATGCATTACCTTTGGATGGTGCCAAGTCCCCTGCTACCCATGACCAAACAATCGAGCTTCAGGGCTCCAACAGCTTCACAAAGCCTGTCCCTTGCATCTCCCCAGTAAAGCTTAGCCACCACAGCCACCTGAAAGTTAAATCAATCCATTATTCCAATCAATCTAAAAAATACTCATGCACATATCATAGAAACCCCCAAAAGGGTACCTGCTTCTGCCTGGAACAAGTGTCGAGCATGTCTAGAACTTCAGGATCAAGATCAAGTTCATACTTCTGCATCACCTCCTTCTCACGCAACTCAGCCCATGGAATCAGAGCTACACTCTCAAACATCAAGACCCGATTATGATTTCAATTACCAAATCAAGATCCGTTGATTCTACACAATGATCATATGATAATCAGAAATAGAAGTTGAAGAACCGAAGCTTACGAGACCCTGAGGAGGACCAGAGGAGGTTGCGAGTCTCATCACCTTGGGATGGCTTGACATGGATGAGATAGAGGGTGTCATCTTTGTCTAACAGATTGTCGATAGCCCATTTGAGAGCGAATTTGCTTCCTTTTGAGAAGTCAAAGGCCACACCAATTGTCCTGTCTTTTGCCATCTTTGCTTCTGTATTTTCTTCAGAGTTGAAGATCGAGAAAGCAAGATATGAAGTCTAACCGAACAGCTTGAGGAAGAGAAGGAGAAGATGAGAGATGCTTCAATCACAATTCGTTGAAGTTTAGATGGGTTCAAGCATTAAAGTCAAAAACTTTTTGAACTCCGCCTCTTTCTCTATGCTTTCTCACATGTAGTTGTCGGTGGAGTATGTGTGATTGAAAATTGTTAATATGATTTTAAGGTAATGAATTTAGCGACAATCTATTGTGGTGAGCATGTCTTACACTTGGACGAGGACCACGGCCTATTCTTAAATGAGTGAAACAGAGCCCAAAGGCCCCAAACCCAGAAGTAGTTGGACTCAGTAGTCACTACCTTCTGGGATGTTTGTTTGTTTGGTTTTCGATTTATTTATTTATTTTTTTTTTAGAAATGATTTTTGTATTATTTTTTTATTTTATTTTTTTTGTATAATTTAATATGTTATTAAAATGATTAATTTTTTTAATTTATATGAGATCCGTGACATTAAATGCATATATTTATTTAATAACATGTGAAAATTGTATAAAAATATAATATAAAAAAAATTATCTCTATAGCACATTTTTTTTTTAATGAAAAAGCATATAAATATTATTACATGATAAGTGAAAGTAGGGGTACAAGGGCATCGTATATAACTGTCTCCTAATTTCACTCAGACTTAATTAGGGCTATTATTACATAATTCTGAACAATCCATATAGTAGCACAAGTTAGCTCCAAAACCCCAAGCTAATATAGCTCACATACAACCCCTATACGATAGTAAAGCATCCCACCAATAAGGCACTATATTTAAAATATAGAGACTAAAAAGATATTTTGTGCCAAAACTTAAACGTCCACTTCCTACGTTTTGTCCTATAACCTTGACCCATTTTGGATTCAACCAAATCCAAAATGGGTCAAGGTTGTTCTGTTCTGTATTTGAATGCTGAACGGTGAGGCAAAGAGTTTGGAGGTGGTAACATGCACGACGCACCAAACACTCTTAATTGGGTGAAGGCCACTATCAAAGGCGGTGAAGCCTGCAGCTTAATTTGACTCAATCATATAAAACACACTAAAAATAAAATGATCTCCACTTTTTTGAGAGAATGAGGGATTGGAATCTGCATGAAAATAACTCATGAGAAGAATATCAATACTAGATCTGGATTTTTGAGATCGGGTAAGGTTATAGCCCCATGTTAAAATGTTAGAGCCACACGAGCTTTTAAATATTATTTTTTAAAATATTAATTTTATTTGGTTTAATTATTTAAAGTAATTAATCATTGTAGTTATTTTTTATTTTAAAATAATAGTCATTTTATAATTTTAAATTTATCTTAAATTAATTATTATTTTTATTTTTTAAAACAAATAAATATTTTTTATTTTTATTTTATCTTTATCTATTTATTTTGATTAATTATCTTATTAAAAAAGTTTTATTTTATTTTTAACTTTTTGTTAAAGTAATATAAATAAATATATAAATAAATTTTAAATTCTTAATTAAA